GTCCTTTGGTGAGATTATAGGCAAACTGAGTCCAGTATTTGACCTAAGGACCAGGAGGGGTTACTGCCAGTGCACAGACGTGTCTTCTATTTGAGCACATACAACCTCAGCATCTTGGACTAGAAACCTGTAGCCACAGACCCCCTGAAGTATTCCTTCCTGGACCTTCACTCTGAATGTTGGATTCCTCCCTAGGGAGGCTGTCATGACTGCAAAGCCTTTCCCCAGTCAGCTCAGCTTCTATGTTGGCTATTCAAAGAGTGCCACCTGCAGGATGAACTGAGGACTCAAATATTTAATTCATCTTCAAATACCACTTGAAGAATTTGTTTAAAATGTGTTCAAGAGCTATTAAACACAAAAGTTAAAGTTTAATGAAGGATAATGGATTGCCACATAAATTCTTCAAAGTTATCATTTATGTCTATTTTAATAGCTGACTTAAATGTCTTTACTCCAAAGACTGACTACTGGTAAGAATCACAGATGACTTCACTATCCCAAGAGTGGAGATGTATTTGTTCAGAGACTTTATACTGCCTCAACCCCTCCCTGTGGATAGCCATTTCCTCTGCCACTGGCTTGCTTTTCCTTGCAGAAGGACAAATTTCCAGGAGCTGTGACAGATGCAATAGCTCTCTTTCTGCTTTGATTCAAGACACTTTTTTTGAACCTAAATACAAAGAATGGGTGCTCAGAATTCCTTTCTCATTACCAGCCTCGAGTAAAGGAATCCTAAATGATAAGGCTAAAAGAGGTCCCTTCACGGAATCATGACCCTTTAGAGTATTGCTCATAATTTACCCCAGCCTCCTACCCCATGATATCTACAGCCTTCCTGACCATATCTCAGAAACAGCAACCCAAACAAAGAACAGGAGTGTCCATGCTTTGGCTTTCTGTCATTGCTCTTCTTACTCAAGAGCTTTTCAATTCCTGATTAAATCCACTCCTCTTCTCCCAATGGCCCTCACTTAATTGAGAGAAGAAGCAAGAGACAAAGAAAACCCTTTCCTGCCTAGATTACTCCGTTTTCACCACCTATATATGGCAATCATGTTGTACAGAACAAAGCAGGTCTCAGGCAGGTTGACTATCAGTAGCAGCCTGCCCGAGACTGCCTTCATTGTGGTCAGCATTGGTTTTCCTACGTAAACTAACAATCCCAAGATGCTGGGTAGCTCCATCCCCCAGAGTGGGGATGATGGAATAAGGCAGGATTAATTCCCAGTCTACAAGATCCAGCTCTGGAGGTTAATTTCAGGGTAATGGGATGGCTCATGAACCCTAGGTAAAGGGCTCCCTTTGTAGCTCACATCTGCTTTTCTCCTTTCTGGAGCAAACACTTCTCCTAAAAGCATGAGCCTTTTGGAAGTTAGAACTCTGTCTTCTCTTTCAAAAAAAAATACAGTCTTATGAGAAAACAGAGTCAGGGGAGATGTGGATTATGCCAGTTGATTACTCATTGGAAGGACCAGAGAAAACTCATAATGGATGTCAAAGAAGGTGGCAACATCCCCACCCTCACCCGCTTTGTCCCACACTTTCCATATGCAAATGGCCACTCAGAAATGAATTTTATGTCCAGTTCCTACACCTCAATAAGGAGGGACAGCATGGAATTAGGATAAAAACATGACTCTGGAACCCAACAGACCTGGGTCTGAATCTCTGCAGAGCTCCTGACAAGCTGGATGACTTGGGCACATGGAAGAACTTTCTGAGCCTCAGTGTTGCCTTCTATAAAACAAGGTGAATACTGTCTAGCATTCAGGATTGGTATAAGACAAAATATATAATGGAAACAGAAGCTCTCAAAAATGTGTCCATTCTTTAGTATGAATTTAAGTTCATGTGTCTTTGTTGCTGATGGCAAGGCATTGTCCCACTTGAAAGGAATATCAGGCACCAGTGAGAAAGTGGAGAAGCGGATGGGCACAATGGGACTAGGATGGCCATGGGCCTGGCTTGATTATAACAAAATGCAAAAACTGTAGCCTATAACCAAAACATGGGGCTATAACTAAGGTTGACATTGCCTCTGAGGCCACATGAGGTAGAGGGAAAGGGGAATTGAGCTGGGTCAGTGCTATGGGTGGCTTTGGGAATGTCCTTTTTAAGTGAGGAGTGCTGAGCCATAGGACAGCCCACAGACAGAAGCACCAAAGCTATGGGATGGCCCTATTCCAACAGACCACCCCAAGTACTACAACCTCCACTCTTAGCAGTCAGGGGATACAAGTGGCTATCTCCCATCCTTTGCCCCCTAACAGCCTAAAGAGGACCCAGGGTGCATGGCCACCCAGATATTTTGGGTCTGCGTTGCATCTTGTCCATCACAAGGTACATCAAGACCTGTGACTATTAGAATGGCAAAGTCTACCTCATTCTGCAGAAGGTCCTCATTGGCTATAAGGATTTCTTTTTTTATTGTGGTAAAATAAACAATATTTTAGAATTTTAACCATTTTAAAGTGTATAATTTAGTGGTATTAGGTACATTCACAGTATTGTGGTGCAACCATCATTATCATTCATCTCAAGAACTCTTCATCTTGCAAAACTGAAACTCTGTTTCAATTAAACCAGCTGTGTCCAATCTTTTGGCTTCCCCAGGCCACACTGGAAGAATTTTCTTGGGCCACACATAAAATATACTAATGGTAACTGAGGAGTTTTAAAAATCACAAAAAATTCATAATGTTTTAAGAAAATTTACAAATTTGTGTTGGGCCACATTCAAAGCCATCATGGGCCACATGTAGCCTATGGGCCACGGGCTGGATAAGCTTGCATTAAACAATAGCTCCCCATTCTTCCCTTCCCCTCAACCTCTGACAACCACCATTCTACTTTTTATCTCTATGAATCTGGCTACTCTAGGTGTAAATAGAATCATAAGCTATTTGTCCTTTCTGTGACTAGCTTATTTTACTTAGCATAATGTCCTCAAGGTTTATCCATGTTGTAGCATTTATTAGAATTCCCTCCCTTTTTAAGTCTAAATAATACTCCATTACATGAATATACCACATTTTGTTTATTTGTGCATCTGTCAGTAGACACTGGAGTTGCTTTCACCTTTTAAATATTGTGAACATGGGTGTATAAATATCTATTTGATGACTGGGCATGGTAGCTCCTGCCTGTAATCCCAGCACTTTGGGAGGCCAAGGTGGATGGATCACTCGAGGTCAAGAGTTTGAGAGCAGCCTGGCCAACATGGTGAAACCTCATCTCTACTAAAAATACAAAAAAATTAGCCAGGTGTGATGGCAGGTGCCTGTAATCCCAGCTATGCTGGAGTCTGAGGCAGGAGAATCACTTTATCCCAGGAGGCAAAGGTTGCAGTGAGCCAAGATCACATTGCTGCACTCCAGCTTGGGCAACAGAGCGAGACTCGGTCTCAAAAAAAAAAAAAAAAATCTGTTTAAGTCCCTGCTTTCGATTCCGTTGCGAATACATGCTGAAGTGGAATTGCTGGATCTATGGTAATTCTATTTGTAATTTTTGAGGATCCACCACACTGTTTTCTACAGTGGCTGCACCATTTTACACTCTCAGTGCACAAGGGTTCCATATGAGACTTTCTTTATCCCACAGGTTGGGTCCAGTCCACCTATATTCCCTGGGCTCAGGTTGCTGCTGACATGGTCTTTCTGGCTCCTGTAAGGCCTTTCACTTTTCAGCATATACTTGCAGCTTCCCTAAAGATACAGTAATGCTCCATGACTTTCCTGTTCCTGCTTGGTTGTTGATGGGCCATCTCTTTTTGCATCCATAGCACATAGTCTGTCTGGGGCTCAATGCCTCCCTGGGTGAGGCCTAGGGCTCTGCATAATGCCCAAAGTAGGACCCACATTGAGGGCTGTCTGCCTGGTGGGACTGAAGTCAGCTCTGGCTAAAGCGGTGATGTGGTAAAACCTAGCTCTGTCATCCTCACTCCTTCAGCAACACCCACCCCTCTGTCCCATAAGGGCACCCTCCCTGCCTTATTCTTCATCATTTTATTTTACACGGCAGCTGATCACGCCTGACAAAATAACTGGAGAGCAGCATTTCATCTTGAAAATGAAAATTTTCAGGATCCATCTGGAAAACTCCCCAGTGGAGAAATACAACAGAGTTAGGACAACATTTTTGAGGTAGAGCCTCTAAACAAAAAGACTTTGAAACAATTACACTATTAGACAAATGATCAGGACCTCTCTCATACAACATATTTGTGTAAATTCAAAAACAGTGCCCTTTTTGGATCAGGTGTGCAGCTCAGCTAAAAGATCGAACATTACATAAATGGCAGTTTAAATATTGGAGAAATGACACCAAGGCACGTTCTCTGTGCACATTCTGCCCTGTAATCGCATGGCTGGTGAGCAGGTGCCACCTATTTCTCCAGGTCCTGGAAGGTATGTGACTTTGCAAGTAGAGCTGGGACTGATTTTTAGCTCTCACTCACTGGCAGTGACAATCATAAGCAGTAGCCCTGGGTTGATGAGGAATCTAGAAATGTCATTCCCTCCTGCCAGCACCATCTTGTGGACAAGGCATTTTTAGATCACACCAGTTGGAAGATTTTTGAAAGACCATAAATGTGGGCATCTATTTTACCACTTATCTAGACTCCAAAAAAAGACAAAGGACTCCTTGCATCAGGCAGGAAGACAGCCCAACAGCCACAGGTTATCAACCCAGCATGCTTCACCAAACACCAAAGCTACAGTCCTGGACGCACACACAGATGCGCGTGCACACACACACACACACACACACACACATGGCATCTCACCTGAGCCGCCTCTTCAAAGTCCACAGGTTATCAACCCAGCATGCCTCACCAAACACCAAAGCCACAGCCCTGGTCTCCCTCATCTAGACACACACACACACACACACACACACACACACACACACAGCATCTCACCTGAGCCACCGCTTCAAAGTCATCATGCTTCTTCTGCAAGGTACACACACCACACACACACACACAAACATCTCACCTGAGCCACCTCTTCAAAGTCATCATGCCTCTTCTGCAAGGCCCGGGCTCGATGTAGGGACTTCCCAACTCCAGTGTGTTTGCTAAGAAAGGCCTCACCATGGTTTTCAATCCAGTCCAACACCTGGTCAGAGAAGGATAACAGCAACAATGACTTCCTAGCAGAAGAAAAGATACGTGACAACATGTGCAACTGCTAGAGTCCTAATCACTCCCATATCCCATCCCTATTGAAAAGCAGAAGTTCAGGTGGACATGTTCAATCCACTGTGGGTCCATGTGATTTCATTACTGTCATTGGTAATATAATAGTCCTACCCTTAACTAAATTCAACTTATCCTTTTTGATTTCCAGATTATTCTTTCCCTACTTTCTCCATTTTCTTAGTTCATTATTTTAAACAAGCTACACAGACCATCAGGCACAGTTTAACCCCCTCACCACTTCTACCCAATGGTATAAAGATATTGACAGGAAATTAGGTAGCAAGAGTTTGGGCAGTATCTTTGCCCTCATTACTCATCCATCACTTTGCCATAAGAATACCCACAGCAATGGTGATCAGTCATGGGGATCCTGTCTCATTGTGCTCCTGGGATTCCCCTTCCTAATCTTGAAAGAAAAGTCCAGGGTAGTCAGTCCCCAGTTGAATGCTCAAGATATCTGACCACTAGGACAACAGCCCCCTCTGGCTTCTTTCCATCTCTCTCCTCCAATCAATACCAACCAACCAAATAAATTAAAGTATTTGCATCCTAAGTCCTTTAGTATCTGAGTCTCTTGGGAAGCAGTGGAGATTTCATGTTCTTCCAGGCTAAAGATCTAGTGATTTGGCTTTAAGACAGTTTCCTTGATATTTAGAGACTTTGGAAAAGAGGAGCCTGGGCAATAGAGGAGTGAGAGAGAGGGGATGCTAAGAAGGGTAGAAAATAAGTTTTTCTGAGGGGCACTTGAGAGGCAGGATGGAAATCTCTTAGTAAAAGCCTTGACGTGCAGAAAGGACCAAAGCCTTTTATACTTATTTTGCATTCCTGCAGATGGCCTAACAAAAATGTATGCATCCCAGAGATCACTTTTTGATCTCGAAGAGTTGTTGCTCAGTATATCAGGTGGTCACAATTAAATCAGAATTACAATGTGAACACACTTGTTATAGATCCTGCTAAAACTCAAGCAAGCTCACTAAATGCCTGCAATATTAATCATGAACTAAACATTTCGTTAATGATAAGCTAGCCTTTCCAGATTTTGTAAGAGCTTACTGGAAAATGACTTAGATGAACTAGGTCTATTTAAAAGGATGCTTTAACTCATTCCTGTGTCTCAAAGGGATTGCCCTGTAGCAAACAGAGGTAAAACCAAATCATTCCAAAGACTACATGCACAGGAGTTCTCTGACATTTGGGATATTTTAATATCTGCAGTGTGCAAAGTATGGACATTTTCAAAATCTTTGGTGACAGGATCACAAAGCCCACATCATGATTGTGCTAGTTCAGAAAAAGGAACATATGAACATAAAAATGAGGCTTAACAAACATCCACTTAATGAAGACAGGTGGAGTAACTGTCCATCACCATGAGGAAAATAAGATTTTTATTAACAAAAAATGAATTTATCTAAACATTATCTATTGAGATTTTAAACACTTTATGAACACTTTATATTCTGACTATATATATATAATTTTTATACATATATAATTTATATACATATATAATTTTTTTAAGTATTCCAGAGGCACAACCCTAAAAAGAAATTGTGGTAGTGCTAGATTTTTACCTTTTGCAAACACTGAAAATGTGGCACTGAAAGGAACTTTACATGTTCCTCTCTTAGAAGAGCCTATGTTTCTCTAGAATTACAGCAAAACTTCAATCAAAAAAATCAGGAGAATGTATTTTTACTTGGCTTGCCACAGTTAGATCTCACAATTCTGTACTGTAACAGGAGTTATGAGCTCCAGCATGCAAGGTCAAAGGTAAATACTTCTAGTCACAAAGTTTTCCCTATATTATGTGCCAAGTCTAGTAAAGTTTTAGAATTTTAATGCATAAACTTCCATTAATCCCTTTTGAGAACAAATTGAGGTTTGAGGATAATTTTCAGCATATAAAAGAACTACCAGTGGTCATTTATAAATGTATTGGAATTTATAACAGATTTTTCAGACTACATTTTTTTAAATTTAGTTTTGAGCAATTAAGTATGACCTGCTTGTCTGGCAATGTTTTCATGAGTTTATTTTATTTCACTTTTAATCTCTAGCTTTAAGAAAATTGGTTATTCTAAGGCAAATTGGTTGAAGAGGAATATTTTTCACCTATTAGTTTACCCACATACAGTGTTTGCACTCCTCAAAAATGATTTCACAACTTTAAAATATTTTTTAAAAGGCAATTTGTTTCCTTTTTAAGTTACTCCACTTTCTTTAAAATGTCGATATATTTTTGGTTACTGGCACCTAGTTTTACTTAATTGGCTATGCCTTCATCACTTAAAAACCTATTTCTGGGCCGGGCGTGGTGGCTCACGCCTGTAATCCCAGCACTTTGGGAGGCCAAGGTGGGTGGATCACGAGGTCAAGAGATCGAGACCATCCTAGTCAACATGGTGAAACCCCGTCTCTACTAAAAAATACAAAAAATTAGCTGGGCACGGTGGCACATGCCTGTAATCCCAGCTACTCAGGAGGCTGAGGCAGGAGAATTGCCTGAACCCAGGAGGCAGAGGTTGCGGTGAGCCGAGATCGCGCCATTGCACTCCAGCCTGGGTAACGAGCGAAACTCCGTCTCAAAAAAAAAAAAAAAACCTATTTCTTTCATATTTGAGAGGCTTTTTACTTCATCTTAACATAACTTGATTGCTCTGTGATGTTATGGTACCATCATTTAGTCCAATTTCTACCATTAGAATTGAAGCTGTAGGAAAAATATGTGCAATCTAGACAAAAGTTCAGGAGCTATGCAGAAATCAATATAACAAATCAAAAAGCAAATACTTTAGGAAATTAACAAAATGACTTTAGTAATCCAGTCTGAAGAAGTACTTGAGGCTAAATAAACAGTCAATATATGAAGTATTGTTAGATATTCTAATTTTTGACTATTTTTTTCAGACAGTTCACTTAGAGCCATTGTTGTGTGATACAAGTGTTTAGACCACATACTGTCTTGACCCTGATTCCACGTCCTGAACCTCGGAAGTACAATCTGACTTTCCATGCAGATCCTGAAAACCAGAGAAATGTGTTCCTGAGCAGTCACCAACAGTGCCTGACAATTGTATTACACACTATAAATGTATGGGTGGCTTCAAATTCTGGATATTTGTTGGTTTCTAGTGAGTTCCATTAAGATGAACCAGGCCGCAGAATCTGAACATCACTGGTTAAAGAATAAATTTTTCTTTTTTTTTTGAGATGGAGTTTCGCTCTTGTTACCCAGGCTGGAGTGCAATAGCGCAATCTCGGCTCACCGCAACCTCCGCCTCCTGGGTTCAGGCAATTCTCCTGCCTCAGCCTCCTGAGTAGCTGGGATTACAGGTACGCGCCACCGTGCCCAGCTAATTTTTTGTATTTTTAGTAGAGACGGGGTTTCACCATGTTGACCAGGATGGTCTCGATCTCTTGACCTCGTGATCCACCTGCCTCGGCCTCCCAAAGTGCTGGGATTACAGGCTTGAGCCAAATCCTGTACCCTACCTAAGTACAAGTACCCATCAAGGTACTCATAATCTTATTCCTGAATGATTTATCCTCATCTACAAGGCATATTTAAAATACTCAATTGCAAATCATAGTCAGAGTATACAAGATGACAGTCATTTATACCTATTGATGGCTCTGAATTGGTATTTGAACATCTCCAACTTGGGAGGTTTAATCTTTTTGTTTTTGTCTGAAGGGTCCTCAGGCAGCAGAGAAGCATATGTGGGTATATAAGTATTAACATATTCAGATATTTATTTGATAGTCTTATTGTGCCCTAGTGCCAGGCACTATAGCACCTCTAGAGGTGGGGATGCAGCAGTAAACAAGGCAGGCATGGTCTGATGCTAGGAACTCCATCTTATAGGGGTAACAAGCACTAGACACTAAATCACACAATTCATCATTCATTGCAAAGGTGAAAAGTGTCAACAGCCAAATGCATCTTCGCTGGGGAGTCACGGAAGCCTTCTTAAGAAGAAGTGAGGTTTAGCTGAGATCTGAGAGAGAGTAGGATTTAACCAAATTAGGAATTTAAAAGACCAGCATGGCTTGCACCAGGGATAAGTATAAAATGGACCCCAAAAAGGGCAGGAACCAGATTGTGGTAAACCCTGACGTGCTGAAAGGGAGAATCCAGTGCTCATCCTAAGAGCCACTGAAGGGTTGCAAGGAGGATAAAGACTATTTCATTTTTAGTTAAAAATTATTGGTCTGACTGGCAGTGGTTCACACCTGTAATCCCATCCCTTTGCAAGGCAGAGGAGGGTAGATTGCTTGAACCCAGGAATTTGAGACAAGACTCAGCAACATGGCAAAACCCTGTCTCTACAAAAAAATACAAAAAAAATGGCCAGATGTGGTGGTGTACACCTGCAGTCCCAGCTACCCAGGAGGCTGAGGAGGGAGGATCCGCTGAGCTTAGGAGGTTGAGGCTGAAGTGAGCCATGATATCACCATTCCAGCCTGGGCAACAGAATGAGACCTTGTCATAAATAAATAAATAAGGCTCTGCTTGCTTTGTGGAGGATCAAATGGGGAAGGCAAAAGTACAGAGGGGAAAACAGGAGGCAGAAATTATGACAAGAGGTGATGGTGACGCAAGCAAAGCCAATGGCAGTATATATGGATAGACAGATTGGGGGAAAGAACTGCCAGGACTTGGTCATTGGCTAAGGGGGAGATGGAGAGGTAGGTGGTAAGCCTGCCTCCCAGAGGCATGTCTCGAACAACTGAGTGGAAGGTAGAACTAGTAACTGGTATAGGCACGAAGGAGTTATAAGGGGTAGCAAAGACATAACATTTTTTTTTCCTTAAGATTTTTTTTCCCTTTCCATGCTCATGCTCTTGCTTTGAGTATGAGCATGGAAAGGGATACTCAGGGGCATAAATGTCAGTGATTTGTGCCCCTAA